CCCAATAAAAACTTCTGTCTACTGGACAACCGAACCCGTGTCTGTCGTTTTCTGACACTGAGGAAGACAGGGGAAGTAAGTAAGCAAGGGTTCAATAAAGAGCTTTGGGGATCTGATCTGGTGGTGTCAGGACCTACAACAGAGATCTTGGCAGAGTCTTCCTCCAGGGGCCCCTGACTCTCCAGTCTTCCAGTCTACAGGAAAATCTGCCACTGAATTGGAAACCAAATGGCAGAGAAGCTAAGGAATAAGAGACTGCTTGGAACAGCAACTTGGGAGTACTGCTCTATTTAGGAATAGGGTATTATTCCTATGTCACTTAATTTTTGCAGTAAGCATTATTAGCACTAGCTCTGTTCAGCTGGAAATCTGAGAGTTAATTAAATGGGGAAACAATTGCTCTAATGGCCTGGCCTTTTTCCTTGACACCAAGCCCTTTACAGATTGTGTAGAAACCCTGACCATTGACTGGATCTGACAGCTGAATTGTATCTTGACTATGCTATGCTGTTAAATGTGCCTCATGCCCTAGAACAGGTTAATATCGCAGGTTCTGCAGAATTACACAGATTTAAAGGAGAAACAAATCAGTTTTGTTTTGGTTTCAGAAAGACACAGAGCAAGTTATAAATCAGCTAGGCTTCCCAAACTAGTTTCCCGTTGGTTGGAGACTATGCAATCAATAGAACAGCATATCAGTGTTTCCATTGTCTATACTGGCTTCCTGTTGTCTTTTGGTTTCCATCTAAAAGGGTGGTTTTAAAACTATAAATCCCTAAAAGACTTGGCCCAACGTACCTTCTCCACTCCTATGTCCTTTGTGATTATCTCGACCCATTTCACCAGTCTTGAAGATCAGCAGGAAAATAAATACGGGTAGTCTCCAGGTTCAGAATGCCCGGTTTATGGGTGACCCATAGTTAAGAACGGAGCCTACTGTAGCAAAATTCAAGTTAAATACATAATGATTCGAGTTAATTACACAATACTATACAATAATTATACAATAATACTGTTCCAGCCTACATACAAATTTGACTTAAGGACAGACCTTGAGAATGGAACTCATTCTTAAACTGAGGACTACTTGTATTTCAAGGAGTGGGCTGAGAATTTCCAAGTGATTTTAAACTTGTGAATGTCCTAGAAACAGTTTCACTGTATATTTATTTAAACAAGCAGTTGACCAACATGGAATAATTAATCTAAATTGTAACTTATTCAATGTCTTTGGGATAGCACAAATAAATTTGGTTAAATGTAAATGAGGATCAATTCAAAATTCTGTTTCTTCAGGAAAAGAGTATGTATATGATTTCTCCCTGTTCTTGCCATTTAAACCTTCTAATTCCAATTCTAGGAGAGATAAAATGTGTACTCCTGAACTATCGTAGTGAAGACAGCTGTAGCTTGGAGAGCTGTAGCAGCAGGGATGCAGAAACTACCAATAACTCAGCCTCTGAGTCCGTAGCAGAAGAAAAACTTCTGGACTTGACATTGACTCATCGTACAGTCAGATCTAAAATCAAGGTACAGATGTTTTCCATTTGTAATTGGGAATGTTTCTTCTGTATTATTCAGATCTGATTTGTATAGCTATTTTGACACAGCAGAGTTACCTCAATGATTTTGTTGAAGAGAGTTTTTTGTTGTTATTTCCTGAATACAATTATTTGTGATAGCACCACTGTATGAGCCTCATGCAGTGCTCCAAGAAATTTTCTGCAACCTGCAACAATAGTTTAGATTTAAGCAATTTTGGGTCACATTTGCTGTAGAGAAAAGAATGGTAAGCTGTAACTCTCTCAGTGAAATATATTAGACAAAAACATGTAATTGACTTTCAGGATCATGCCTGAACAGGTTTTTGAGCATTAGATTTTACAAGGAAGAGACAACTTAATAAAGCATTTCAATTAGTCAACTGAAAATTATTCACTGGGCCTATGCAAAGCTTCAAAAGGATGCTCCATCAATAATGGTTCATGCAAGACATCCTTCAAACCTGCTTCAAAAAGTAACATGGTCCCCTTGCTTCTGATAGGGAAGTAAATTAGCTGCATTGCTTTGCTTTGTCTCATTTCTGAGATCTCCTCCAGAATATCTACAGTAACTGGCAGAATAGGTGATGTGAAACACTTTGATAATGAAAATTGTATCATCTCCACAACTTGGTGAATGAATTGTGGCAGCAGCTGATTGAAACAAATCTGGTTATCTCTGTGATGATTGCGTGTTAGAATTATCATTCAAAGCATGGTTATATATACAGTGACCGTACATTCTTTATTATAAAGGACAGTCCTTTATTTCAGAAAGCTGTCCTTTAGATTTATTTATTTTTCAAAAATTCACTTTTGTCCTTTATTTAGGTCATTTAACTTTTACTGTACAAATGGCACCACTTTCACATTCATGTGAAAAATATGGAAATTGAATTGTCTTTTTTAAATAAATTTACATATACTGTTTGATTTTAGATATTTTTACTAGAATATGCATTTTTGGTTTTTCTTGGTTTTGCTCTTGAATTTTCCTTTGTAAAGCAAAGTTAACATTTTAACTTTAAAAATTGTTTTAAACAATTTTTTGTTGTTGTTATTTCCTGAATACAATTTTGTTTCTTTTTGTTTTAAACAAAAAATTGTTTAAAAAATTAAACAATTAATTTTTTTATCCTTGTGAACTTCTTTCAGATTTCCCCTTTTTCAGGTTTGTCTTTTATTTTTTCCAAGAAAATATGGTCACCATAGTTATACAGGACAACTCCTAGTTTAAATTCCAGAGGGTTTTGCTGAAGAAAAAGAGAATGAGAAAGGGGAGATATGGGCAGAAGGACAGATCTCAAAGAAGTTTGGAATCCTATCCCAAGGAAAATTGTCCAAATTTTATAGTGACAGGTTTGGAAAAGATATTTGTTGCCACGGAAGGAAAATATTACCGTATTTTTCCGACAATAAGACGCCCCCATGTACAAGACGACCCCCACTTTTCCA